CTTCGTCGATCTGCCTGTTCTGCTCCCCACTCTGTCTCTGGTGAAGCCTCCCTCCGCCCCTGAGCCTCCAGCCTGTACCCCGGTTCTGTATGTACAAATAAATAAATCTTTAAAAAAAAAAAAAATTTAGGTCAACCTAACTAGATTAAAAACTTCATGAAGGCCAGATTTTTGTTCATGGTATCCCCTGTTGTATCTCCAAAGCCCAGGAAAGTTCCCAACAAACAAGATCCTTCATAATTGAAAAAGTAAGTCATTAAGTCATTAATTAATGAAGAAGGAAAGGGGTATATATTTACTGGTAAAGAGAGTGAGTTGTGGAGAAAAAAATAAACTCACAAACTATTATTTTCATAAAATTAACAATTATAAATCTTATTAAAATGCATATTTAAAGTGGTGTTTAGAAATAACCAGTCAAAAGGAGTAAGAGTTTAAAAAGAACGTGAGGGTGCTCATAGATAAGAGGTTTACAAAAGTGTGACCTTCCTTTTCATACATTTCTCCCTCTGGCTAAATTTCCAAACATACCCCAAAATGAAGCCTGTACCAATTAAATTCACAGTATTGTCTGACTTATCAGCAAATAGAGCAAGTTTTCTATTACTTCTTTATGCTACACAGTAACAGTCTACTGTGCTTTAGGTCACTGAAAATTCCTAACTTTGATAAATCAAAGGTAACCCTTAATACCTATTGTATATATTTTATATATTATATGAAAATCAGAAGACGGTCACTCTCAATATATAAATTTCTAAACAACATTGAATTGAATCTAAACAAACATCATAATCAACTGAGGATTTCTGCTGGAAATGCCAGACTCAGTAGATTCGTGTTCTACATTAGTAAAAAGGTAACAAAGGAAATACAAAAACTAAATTAAGAAGTAACACACAGCATGCGGCATGACAAATAGTGCTCCCTGTATGCCAAGAAGTGTATGTATATTTAGCTAACAGGAATAGCGTGAATGAAAGAGTAGACAATAAACAACTCTATCAGAATTCTATCTACATTGATTCTACATTACACTCCTCTCAAAGTATTTTAACCGGTATGCCAAAGAAAAGCCTTTTCATTATGAATCTACACAGAAATTGTTAATATGTTCACTTTAGAAGTGAAAATTTCAATTACATTCAGGCTTTCTAAGGCTAACCTAAATCACTCTATTTATGTAAGAACAGGGCCCTCCCTGGTGGCGAAATGGGTTAAGGCACAACACTATTAATGCTAGTCACAGCTGCTTCAACAAGAGTTCAATACCTGCCAGGGAGGTGACCCACATGGCGCAGCAGACTTCTCCTGTCTTGCCCACTGCTCCTTTCAGCAGTGTACTTCATCAATCTGCCTGTTCTGCTCCCCACTCCTTCTGATGAATCCACTTACCATCCCCGCACCTCCGGCCTATACCCACTTCTGTATGCATAAATAGTAAATAAATCTTTTTTTTTTTAAGATTTATTTATTTATTCATACAGAACTGGGGTACAGGCCAGAGATACAGAGGGTGAGAGGATTCACCAGGGACAAAGGGGGGAGCGGAACAGGCATATCGACCAAGTACACTGCTGAGGGGAGCAGTGGGCGGGTCAGGAGAGGTCTGCCACGCCATGTGGATCTCCTCCGGGGCAGGCAGGGATTGAACTCATGCGGAAGTAGCTTAAGCTTCTTAGTGCAGTGCTTTAACCTGCTGCGTCACCAAATAAATTAAAAAAAAAAAAAAAAAATAGCAAGTTCCAGGGTTTGTTGTTGTTTTCTTTCCCATAATTAACCAATAAAAATGTCCAGAACCAGCAAGGATTGATTTTCCAGAAATATCAATTTAGATTGGCCATAGTACCTACTTACTTAATAAAGGCAGATGTTGCTATGAAGCTATTTTGTGGTTATAATTAAAGTCCTTAATCCATTTAAATAAAGAAGATTATCTCAGATAATCCGCCTGGGCATAACTGAATCCTTTGGAAAAAACCTAAAAGCAAACCAAGGTTTATCCCGGGGAGAAACACTAGTGCATCTGGACCACAGTTTCACCACATGCCACAGGAGTTCTAACCTGCTGGTGGTCTCTTCCTAACAGGAAGAAATTTCCTTGAAATACCAAGAGATTTAAAGACCTGCTGAGCAGCCACCACAATCACACTGTTTCTGCCTCTCTGGGTGAATTCTGATACGTACTGCTTACTGTAAGAAGTGAGTCTAGAAGCAGTATTTCTTAGATTTAATTGACAAGTATTTCTTATTTGGTGTATGGGTGTATGGGTGAGCTTACACAATCCTCTTTGTTTTTTTAATTCTTGTGTTCAACACTAAACCATTTCTGAAAGGAACTACGATTGTTCTATGAGAAAAATATAAGCAATTCTGTTTTCTCAAGGCTACAAAAGATGGGTTCGAGAATTCTTTGTGATTTAACAGAAACCACTTAATGTGGAGATCTTTAATGACTACTAGGGAATCTGTAAAGAGTTTTAAGAATTTTCTATAGTTCAATGATTATATAGTCTGCTTTTAATTTCTTCCTGAGAAGGTTGTGAACATCCTTCAGCAATGAATTCTACATGCTGAACTAATGTATGGCACTATTGCTGCCTCAATGACTACTACTTTTAAGGGAGGTCCCCAGCATAAGAACAACCACATGAAAGGAGAAGTGGAAATTAAGCCCGAGACAGTATCAACAGCATCTTACAAGATAGAATCTTACCACACAGAACACACACTTTATCAACATATTTAGGAGGCATAATTCAGCTTGAAATATAACCGGCTGTTCTTTAATACTGATCAAGCAACATTCATTCCCACAAGCCCCAGCAGTAGCAAGAGCAGCAGTAGCGTTTCAGCCTAGTATAGAACCACAGCCTTACATAACACTCACTTTCCCAGGAAGTCCCAAACAAACCCCCCTGACGGTGCAGGGACAGAAATCTGGCGTGGGAGGCACAAACTGCGGGAGACTGGCTTTCTGAGAGACAGCATGGCCAAGAGGGAACACACACACACACACACACAGGGACCAAACTCCCAATGAATAGGACCACGATAAAACAAACCAGAAAAAAAGGTGAGGAAACTCAAATGATAAGTTACAGAAGACAGACACCCACACACAGGAAACAGTGGAATGGCAAACACAAGAAGCAAATGGTTAGTAAGAAACAGAGCAGCCACATACATGCCCCTCAACATAAAGGCATGATGTCATACTGTCTTTGAAACTTTATTAATATCTCTTTTACAATGCTGCTGAGTAATAAATCATGGGAGCAAAACAGTGAGCTTTAGAAACTTTCTTTCTGGTAGCAAAAAAAAAAACAAAACAACAACTAGGTGAAAGCCTAAAACAAAACAAAACAGTGGCCAGGAGACAAATCTATGCAGTGATTTTTCAACGTCGTGGAAAGTCATAATCTGTAGAAAGAGTAGATCACTTACAACTCTTTCTCAAAATGTAAGAAATACAATGGCTAATAAAATCTATTTGGTGTATGCTGGACCTCAAATATAGACTGAATCCTATTTCTTAACTCTCTCCCAAATCATCCTCATCACTCAAAAATCGGCCAAAATGAAGTATTTTGTTTTTCAATCAAATTGACTAGAAGAGTAAGCAGTAGTTTCAATGTAGGTTTTTAACAAAGTAAACAAACCTAAAACACAAAACTTTATCAACAAATTTCTTTTCTAAAACTTTGAAAATATATTTAATTGGAAGTCATTAATCCATAAAAAGCATGGTATTTTTATCCATGCAGTTGACAGCCATCAATTTCAGGCTGACACAAAAGCACAGAGAGACATTTATTCATATGAGTTGTATAGTGTATATTGTGGGTGTATTTTAAGAGGAAGATACAATGCAAATGTGGAAGAAGATATATAAAAATACACAAGATATAAACTTGAGAATCTGGTAATTTGCTAATTCTGATTTAAGGTATTTAAGGCAACCAGTCTATATTACTCATACTTTTAGTCAGTGAAAGAGAAAGTGAAATCCTTGAAGGTTTCACTTTATTATTTTAGTTTCTTGAAGATCAACATTCTATGGTTTTAGATGAGGAGAAAAAGAACCTCAAGGGAAAAAATATCAAACTATCAAATCACCCAAAATTTTAAACAGCAGAAATTTATAAAAGCACTTTATAAAAGCACTGTCACATTCTATAGTGACTTCACTCTGTCAGTCTCTTTGGCTTGTTCAGAAGAATGGATAGATTAATGAAGTTCTACTGAAAGAACTATTTCTATGCACTGTGTATTTATGTTAAGTAAATGGTGTTAAAGCACAGGCTAAGAAGGATATGTTTAATCTGTAATACAGAATACCCCAATAAGGAAAAAAAAAGAAAGACAAAATTTGAAAAGAGCTGTTTGACTGGATCTAGCTCATTTTGAAGACTATTTAAAGTCAGCGCTCCATGAAACTTGTCTTCTAAGTTACCCGTAAACATCCTTCACCTTGCTAAATTTGAAATATGTACTGGTATAATACCTGTTTTTCTATTATACAAACTGTGACAAGTCTAAAGATTTGTAGTTAAAGGAGCATCAACTCAATGAAAAGGCATAAGCCAATGAAGAAATATTAAGTTCTTGAAATTGAGGCTCATTCACCCCTTAGATAAGAAAAAAAAAAAAAAGCATGACATGAACTGTACTGACCAAACAAAACAAAACAATACTTTCCTAACCAATGAATACTTTCTCTTTCAACCAATGATCTTGAAATCTATACTTTCCCAACTTATTCTCATTCTTATGTTGCCTTTTGGAGATTGCAGCAATGAATGTGCCCCTAAATTTAAAAGCTGGTAATAAAATAACATCAAACATTCAAGAATCTAAATTCAGATTGGCAGCTACATTGAAAAAGGATGTCCCCCAAAGTACAGTTTTTCAAATTACACTTGAAGATCTCTAATACATTCAGTTTCCCCTTTCCTTACCTTTCCAACTCAGCAATCTTCTTATCTTTGTCATTCTTCTCATTTTCCACTTCCTTCAAGATTTCTAAGAGACGGTCAACTTCTGCCTGGGCCTTGCTAGAGTCATCTTTGTACCTGGCGATTTCACTCTCTAACTGCTGTATTCGATCATTCATCTCAGGACTGGCTCTGGCTTCTAACGTTGCTTCATGTGCCTACAAAGAAAGGGTTCAAATTCTATCAGATACATATACTGTGGCAGTGGGCAAATATGTCCTAGAGAGATATCTGCATTTCAATTTAAATGAAGTATTACCAAATACTTAACAGTTAGTCTCAATTTATAGGATTTGTCTCTGCTTAATTATCAGAGACAATATATTAGTAAATGGAGAAAGTTACTTTAGATTTGGAGTGGATTTGTTTTTTATAATAGCCCACCTCTGAATATTTATTACTAAGTGAAAATTCATCATAAGCTGCAAGGTGCTTCAGGCTCCAGGGAGATGTACTAATGAGTGATCAGACAACTAACGGTCTCTCCACAAAAATGTCAAAATGCATGAGCAGAAAAACTCAGTGCTGATCTTACTGTAGCCAGTACCAGTGCTGACAACTAGATCTCATATGATCCTCCTTTCGCTTCCCTTCCCTGTATATTGTCATATGGGTCACATGGCCTTAAGTATCTAGGATCATACAGGTACTACACATGATGTCATAAAACTGAAGTTAGGTCAAGAAAATGACTATAACCACTTAGGTATCTCCATAATGTAAAAACTGAGCATTTCACAAGATAACATGGGATAAAGACAGAAATCAACAATTACATTTAGAATTTTTTCTAAATATTTCTTAAGTTTATAAATGACAACTTGCATTTTTCACTGAACTTTGGAATACAAAGCCATTTTAGCAATTAAAAACTATTTCATATGTTCAGTTTTTCTCTTAAATATCTAAAAACTTCCATTAATGATCAATTTAATGAGAAAATAAAAGCTAAGGTATTTTTCATTCTTCAATAAAATAAAAACACGTATCTTAAAATGGTTTGAAGAAAATGTTAAAGTAAATATATATTCTTTAAAAATACGTTGAAAAGAAAGATCTGGTTCATAGTACCTTCAATGAAAAACAAGTGTTTCGACTTACTGAGCCAAATACTTTGTCAACGTGACAACTGTACTTTGAGAGATGAAATACTTTACTAACATCTTTAAATTCAGTTTTAATCACTTGTGAAAATTCACAGTACCTAACAGTGGCGTTTAAATGCAATTCCACTGGCAGACATGTAGTTTAACGTGTTAGCAAAAAGTCTAAACTGATATGGTTAAAAGTCACAAGGTAAAAGCAGGGGGGAAAGAAGCAGCCCCAAATGAACTAAGAATAAAACAAAAGCAAAAGCAAAAAACGTAACCTTTCCAAAATCTGAGGGAGAGTTTTGTTCTCACAAAAATGATTCTATTTTCTAATCACCCGGTAAATTTTAGAAAGGTGTCATTTTTTAGTAAGATCTAGAGTTCCTACCTGAGGAAACTGAGGGTAAGGCCAAATGTATCCATTTTTCTTAGTAGAGTTAAGAAAACTAAACAAAACTAACTCATGCAAAACACAGAAAAAAACATTAACTACAGGATCTATAGCATCGCTTGGTCAGGTCACTTACTGGCTTTGATGGAAGGCTTAACACTATTTCAGGATGCTAACAGGAGCGAAGAGTCAAGGAGAAAAGAAAGAAAAGTAGAAGGAAATGATTTAAGCACAGAATAAGTGAGAGAAAGAAAAGTAAAAGGTTAAAAAACTTCAGCAGAAAAGTTTAGAGGCAAAAAAAATAGATATTTCCAGAGAGAGAGAAAAAAAGTTAGGATTTTAGAACATTTTGATAACTGAAAGTTGAACTACAATGCTTTCATTAATAATTCTGAGGTTCTCATCTCATGCTGGAGTACAGAGTACCAAAACTCAGGTATAAGATCTATACTCTTCAGCTGTGATGAGTAAAAAACGACTTGAATTTATTACGAAGTCAAGACCACTCATTTCCTACTCATTTTCCAAAAACAAAAGAAGAAATTGTCTTGGAAAATTTCGATGGCAAAGATAGTTTTTAAAAAATTATCACAAACTAGAACACTCATCTTATGCCAGTTATGATTTTCAGCAAGAAAATGTGCCACATACTTCAAACACACAAATTAGCTGTAAACAAGTAACAGTGCTCATATAAAATAGACAAAGATAACAAAATTATAGGACTAATAAACTACTAAGAAACATTAAAACAGTAGCAAATCTAAAGCCACCTGACACTTTGCTTATTTTATTGAGATATAATTAATATATAACATTATATTGGTTTCATGTCTGCATCAAATGATTTGATATTATATATATTCTAAAATCATATCAGAATTTGTCTACTAATCACCAGTTACAATTTTTTTCTTTGCAGTAAGAACTTTAAAGATCTACTCCCTTAGAAATTTTCAAATATATGATAATACAGTGTTACAAACTATAATCACCATGATAGACTTCCATCACCAGGATTTAGTTAATTTATAACTAGACCTTAGTGCCTTTTGATTACCTTCACCAATTTCATCCATTCTATCCCATGCCCTCATGTGGTAAATCTCTGCTCTGAGTTCAGGCTTTGTGGGGTTTTTTTTCTTCACATTACAAATAAAACTGAGATCACACAATATTTGTCTTTCACCATCTGACTTATTTCACTGTCCTGCTTTTAAAATGAAAATTGTCAGGTAAATAATTCTCTAATCCGGTGAAATAAAATCTGAATTACGATATTTCACAATTGTTCAATCTTATGTTATTACTTAATTCCTATATCTAACATTAGAAAATATGCTCTCATTTATCATAGCAACACTTGTTTTAAGTCAAAGGGCTTTTCTTTTTTTTTTTTAAGATTATTTATGCTTACAGAAACTGGGATACAGGCCAGAGGTGTGGTGGGTGAGAGGATTCACCAGACACAGAATGAAGAGCAGAACAGACAGACTGACAATGTACACTGCTGAGGGGGGCCGTGGGCGGGTCAGGAGAGGTCTGCTGCACCATGTTGTTCAGCTCCCTGGTGGGGTTTGAACTCATGCTGCAGTGGCTTCAGAGAGCTTCAATAATGTGGTACTTTAACCCATTGTGACACCAGAGAGCGCCCCTCAAAGTTCTTTTCAATAATTCGACGATATGATATACCTAAGTTCATCTGACACATAGCAGAAAAACCTGTACACAACATGTACATTGCTTGAATTAACTTCTGTGGTCTCCTCTTAAATTCCTGCATTTAGGTAATTTATTGTTCTATGAATTTTTAATTTAAGAGGCAACCTTGGCTTACCACACTGTATACAATCTAGGGGATGGCTCACAGCTCTTCAGATGCATGTTTCCATATCACACCCATAATCCTCCAGTATAGTTACTGAGTCCCTAGACTCTTTGTTCCCCACTCTCCACTACTTGCCTCAACTCTGCAGTCATATTTCTAGCGTTTGTTTTGGTTTAGCTTTGTCTGATCCTTGTTGTATTCCACATATGAGTAAAATCATCTGGCTTTTTTCGTTCTCCTTTTGACTTATTTCATATAGCATAATTCCTTCTAGTTCTACCTCTGTTTTTGAGAATCTCTTTCTATAGTAATGAGTACTCTATTGTATGTAAACAGAGCTCATATCTTTCTCCACTAATCTGTCATCAGGCATGTAGGTTGTTACTCTAATGTGGCTACTGTCAGTAGTGCTGCAATGAACACAGGAGTGCCTATATCCCTTTGAATTAGTGTTTATTTATTCTCTGCATAAATACCAAGGAATGGGTTGCTGGATCATATATCTATTTTTAACATTTTAAAGATATTTCATACTACTTTCCACATGGGCATCATTGCCATGAACATTCCCACCAAAGGTGTACCACCTGCGCCTTTTCTCAGCACTGTCACCAATACTTACCTCTGGGTTTTTTGAACTAGGTCATTCTCATGGGTGTGAGGTGGTATCTCATTGAGGTTTTGATTTGTACTTCCTTGATGCTAAGTGATGTTAAGCATTTTTTCATGTGCTTTTCTGGTCATTTGTATGTCTTCTCTGAAGAAGTCTCTATTCAGGTCTTTTGCCCTTTTTCTGACTGACCTCCTTGGTTGTTTTTTGTTTTTGCTTTTGTTTTAACCTGTTGTTAAGTAAGGTGTGTGATTTCTTTAAATATGTTAAATATTAATCCTTTTTTCAGATGTCTGATGTGCTAATCTCTTCTCCCAATCAGTAGGTCCCCTTGTTGTTTTTTGGATTTCTTTTGCTATCCAAGCACTAGTATTTGCTCTAGTCCTATTTATTTGTTTGTGTTTACTTTGCAAATAAAGCTGGGTCTCCAAAGACATCTATGCAGTTAACATTTACAGTATATTGACTATGTTTTCTTCTAAGTACTTTGTGGTTTCAGAATAAAAGGTAAGAATTTAAAGAAAATAATAGCAACAATGTATAGGGTGATAAATCATATGGATAAATAAAAAACAGTAATCAAAGAAGAGGAAAAGAAATTAAGAATACTCTATTTCAAATGTGTATTATACATAAAGTGGGCAAGTGCTATTTTTAGTTAACTCAGAGTAAAAATGCATATTGCAGGACCTCCCAGATGGTGGGGAGAGGGGTGGTGTCAAGTTTCAGCACTATGAAGCTATCAGCAGCCACTGCAGCTTGAGTTCCAATCCCAGACAAGGAGCTGACCCAAATGGCATAGCAGATCTCTCCTGCCTCACCCACTGCTCCCCTCAGCAGTGTGTTTCAATTAACCTGTTCTTCTCCCCAGGAATCCTCTCATTCCAACCCACCCCTGCACTCTGGCCTATATCCCAGTTCTTGTAAGCACAAATAAATAAAATAAATCTTTGAAAATACGTATATTGCATTTCATGGTTTTCTGGATATGACACCAAAAACATAGCAATTAAAAAAAATAAAATAGGTAGGACTACATCAAACTAAAAATTTTATACAGCAACACAGCAAAGAAAGTCATAAGCAGAAAAAGGCAACCTAGAAAATGGGGGGGAGAGGGAATTTTTTTTTTTTAAAGTTTATTTTTACATCATTTTGCACATTTTTTTTTCATCTCAATTGTAATCCCCACGGGTTTCCCATCACCAAATCACCCCTGTGCCACCACCATAGTCCCGTGCATTTCCCTCCCTTCCCCCACCCCCCCGTTTTTGGTCCCATTCCCCAGGGAGAGGGAATTTTTTAAAACTACAGTGAATCAAACATTAATAGATCTAAGATACAAAAAGAATTACACAACAGAAAACAAAGAATCCCATTAAAAAATGGGCAACGAACATGAACAGGTATTTTCCTAAAAAAAAGACAGATTTATAACCAACAGGTCTATGAAAAGACGCTCAATATCACTAAAACTACAATGAGAGAACACCTCACACATGTTAAGGAGACTATTATGAAAAAAACAGACAAGTGGCAATTGCTAACAGAATGTGTATTTCATTACTAGGAGTGCAAACTGATACAGTCACTGTAGAGAAGAGTATATAAAGGTTCCTCAAAAAATTTAAATAGCAATTACTGTATGATCCAGAAATCCCATTCATGGATACAGAGCCAAAGGAAACTGAATCAGTATCTCAAAGAGATATCTGCACTCTCATGTTCACTGCAGCAATGCACACAATAGTTAAGGTATGGAAACAACCTAAATGTCTATGGATAGATGAATGGATAAAAAAATGTGGGGTGTATGTGGTATTCAACAGAAGGGGGTGTCAGGGAGGAAATCCCACCATTGTGATAACATGGATAAACCTGGAGAACATGATGCTAAGTGAAATATGCCAGACACAGAGAAACAAGTACTGCAGTCTCACTTATATGTGGAGTCTGAAAATAGCTGAACTCATAGAAACAGAGTTTAATGGTGGTTTCCAGGGTTACCGGGGAGGTGGGAGAAATGAGATGCTGGTAAAAGGATATGGTTACAAGGTAAGTCCTAGGGACCTATATACAGGATAGCTACAGTAGTCTATAACAGTATATTGTATGCTTGAAATTTGTTCAGAATTTAAGTACTAGAAAGTGTTCTCACCACACCAAAAAAAAAAAAAGTAACCATGGGAGGTAATGGGTGGTTTAATTAGCTTGACTTTGGTCAACTTTTCATAATGTGTACACACACCAAATTACAATGGTCTACACTTTAAACATATATAATTCTTATTTGATAATATATCTCAGTACAACTAAGGGGGAAGTTAAAATGTATACTTCAATTCTAGAGAAACCATTTAAAAATTTTAAGAAATATAACTGTTGTGTTAAAAGAGAAGGGATAATGTAATGACACAAAATGCTCAACTGAAATGGAAAAGGAAATATGGGGAGGAGGAAACAAATTAAACAAAAAAATTAGATCAATAATCTCACTCTTGCAGTAGGTTACTGTGGAAGCAGTACAATAAAATAAATCAGTAAAGAATTAAAATGAACATGAATAATCGCCAAGAATCAAACATTGGAAAACATGAAAAGAAGGATGGAGATGGGTAGAAAAACCAGTAATAAATCAAAGTAGGAAAATGCCATCAACTTCCTCTATCCAAAGATAACTTTATATTTTTTATGATGAACCTAAATATAAAGCTTAAAACTTAAGAGACCTTAAAAATAACCAGCTATAGAAGTATCATAAAAGGAGACTAAAAATCTCTAATTTTTCCATGTAATCAAAAGTAACTTCAAGATATGGATTTTCTCCCTTTCCTGATTTTAACTTAGGTATACCCTAAATGAAAATTCAGTATGTGGATATCATGTGGTATATATTACAATGCATGGAAAGAAAACAAAACTTGAAGTTCTCAGTTCCAATTCTGACACAATTAATATTTTGTTGATATTACAAAAATCCTGTGAAAACTATAAACTGCTATATAACTATCAGAGAGGATTAACCAAAGAATAGAGAGCAAATATCAAGACCATATCCTAATATTCACCAGTATAGCGAATTGTCACTATTAAAGCTATCTCCTAGGAAATCCAATACTAACAAAGGAAGAATAGTAGAGAATAAAGGTATTTTTACATTGTGGTCTTATTCTTCACCAATAAGGGAGATATATATTTTAATCTTTCTTTGGTCTCTCAATTTTCTAAGAGTTTGGGGGTTCTCAGAAGGAAAAACTAAATAGTCTAAGAATTCTAAGAGAATTAAGGTATAAATGGTATTTTGAAGGGTAGGGAATTATTACTTCACTAGGGTAAATTATTCCATATAAACAAAACAAAAATTTCTACTATGTTTTTATTTAAAAGAAAATAGAAATGTTTTTCTTCCACCTTTTTCAACTGTGATTCCATTTTCAGACACTCCTCCTTCTTCTGCTCCAAAGCTATCTCTAGTGTCTTAAGCCGTGAGTCCTTTTTCAGTCCCGAAGAAGCCAAGGAAGAAGCATGCTCTTTCAGATCCAAGAGTGAAGCCTAAAAGAGCCAATGGACATCTAGAATTAAATACTAACTATAAATAAAATGGAAATCTAAATTTTGGGATTTACTATATTACAGCTTTTTACCATTCTACAACTGATAAATTCCTGTCTCAAGAATACTGATATACAACCCCCCTCCCAAAAAAGTCATTACCTAAAATATGGTTACATTCCCAAGAAATACCAAAAATGAATAGTGATTTAAAGAGTTCTATTAATGTACATCCATTCCCACAAAGTAAGTGGAAGTAGAAAAACGGTGTCAATGTAATCAGTTAACTGAAATAGTTGACTTAAAGTTAAAATACTTTTTCCTTTTAGAAGGAAACTTCCAATAGGAAATAGATTTCTATAAAATTTCCTAAACATATTAGAGAGAAAATTCAGAGAATGGCCCTACAGCTCATGCATCACAAACTGATCCTAAAGTATTAGTCATTTTTGTTGTTTAGGTCACAATACCAGAATTTACTCAAAAGCCAGTACTAACTGTGATGCTCCTCACTCAGTCGACAATCATTTAAGATGTTCCCAACAACACTAAGATGAACTCTAAGAGCTGTTATAAGTAAAGTTTTTCATCTATCACATTCCTTACCATTAGCACAATATTTCTCCAGATATCATAACTCAGTTATTTTAATATCTATAAAAATATCACTAACAAGTAAGACCAACTCATCACTGAAAAAGTAGACTTAGGAAGTGAACGATCCAATCTTACTATGTTTCCGAATGCGCCCTGACTATCCCTTGGAATATTCATAAAAGGCCTGCTGCAAGAGCAGTAAGAAAGTCTTCCACCAAATACCTTATATACATTATATAAATACCAACAACATAAACACACTGTACCAAATGAGCAAACCAAAAAACTCCATTTTATGATCTTAACCTCTTTTTCTGAAAGATCGCCCTGTAATAGGCTGACTTTCTCTCTCAAGTCTTTAAGATCTTTTTTGTAGTTATCAATTTCCTCTTGCTTCTCTCGCTCGTCTCTGTCCCGCTGCTCCTTTAAACGTTCAATTGTCCGCTCCTGATAAGAGAACACATCAATACATGAGAAAATTCCTTCCATGCTTACATCATATAACTGTAATTAAGCTGTTAGCTGATAAAATTTCACACTTCCATCTACCATTCAAAAGACAGCGATAAGTCGTTAATATGTTTAAAAGTATTTCATATATTCTACCTGCCTTGGTATAACAAAGACCTAGCTTTGTTCTTCTGATTCCTCTGGGTTTCATTTCCAATATTCTAAATTAGCATTAGATGTCCCTAAAGTTTTCATTTGAAATAATAACATTTATCTAATTCCCAAATAACTAAACTTAGAGAGCATCCCAGGTTAATAATAAAAAATATTTCCTCTTTATATATAATTCACATGTTGTCTATAAAGGTAATGGAAACATTGAAAAATTCACACACCAAAAAAACGCCAAGGAAGTTGGGGAAATTCCGTTATATTGAACTTAAAGCATAATGAAGGGTAAAGAAAACAGAGACCACTAAAACGCTATTCTGTCAACAGATAGTCAGGAAACTTGAAAGTCAAAGCAATTTAAGTTTATTTTTGGATATAGTTAATGAATATATTCAGGTCTGATACCTGTGCAGGTAACTTGAAGCATTCTGAGTCTAAGAGGTTTAAGAGACACTGTCCCTACTCCTTTAAAAAAAAAAAAAATCTAATTACAATGTCCCACCCAAGATTCTTTAAACCTCCATTCAAAACATTAACAATATGTATACTGCTTCTTTTTAATCAATCATTCCTTAAAAACTAGGTTCATTCATAAATGCAAAATAAAGCAAGGCCAAGAACAGAAACATGCTCGGTACACTGAATTAATAACTAAAATTTGTGAATATTTTAGGTACCAACATAGTAAAGGATGAATTATCTACTGCCCCCTGATGGTCATGCCTGATGTTCCCACATCTACAAATTCCAGCTGACCATGTAATGAGAACTTTACTGTTTCTTCAAAGGATAATAAATGGGGAACACATGACAGATCTTCTAGAAATTCACTCACTGGAATCCATCCTGCCTAGAAACAGATGCTTAAGTTGGCAACAACAAAACAAATTTTCTTCCCTTTTATACTATGCAGCAAGCAGTAGTACATAGAGGTCTTTTCCCTTTTGTCCAAACGAATTTCTTCTGTCTCCCATATCCAAATCTCATCATAGAGAAAACTGAGATCAAGGTGTCTGTGAAGATCAGACCAGTCACTCACTTTCTCTGCAAGGGCCTCTTCCAAAGTTGTCAAGGCAGTGTCGGTGTTGGTGGTGTCAGCCTGCAAGGATTTGACTCGTTCTTTCAAGCTGCTCATTTGTTTTTCTTTATCTCTAAGTTGCTCTTGAAGATTTTCAATCTAAGTGTGTATATACATGCGGGAGGGGGGGAAATTAAGAGAAACAGTCACAATAAACATCATTTTAGGTGAGGAAACAAGAAAGTCTGGATTATCTCTTTGTGTTCTGTAGAAATAATTTAATCCTAAGGGTTTCAGAACTATGCAAAGCTTTAGACCCAGAACTTATAGCCAGAACAGAAAAAGTGCAACATGGGTATGAGCACAATAAGGAAAGTAACTAGGAAGAAGAAAAGCCAGTAGATACAGATGGGGATGGAGAGCCACGAGAGACTGGATTACTTCCAGAAGATGTTATAAATGTCAAGGAGAAACAAGGATGGACAAAGAATGGAATAGCTACACAGTAAGAAAGACAAAACCAGCTGTATGAAGGAAAAAATTGCTCTTAAGTACTAATGTTAAGTTAGAGTATTATACTTTAGTGAACAGCATTTTCAATGACATTTCTTATTATTGTTATTCATTCCTTTATACACATTATATGCATTCATTTACTCAAAAAGTATCCACTGAATTCTCTATTATATGCCAGGCATTAGTGATACAAAGAAAAATGAACAGACTCATTTTTATTATGCTACTAGTAAGAGAATTATCATTATGTAGCTGAGTCCAAACCATGGATAAGCCTGAGTGCCATTCTAAAAAATACAGACTTTATTCTAGACAGATGAGAACCATTAGCAATTTTTTTGGTAGTTTTTTTTTTAATAAAGATTTTTATTTATTTGTGCATACAGAAGTGGGGTACAGGCCAGAGGCTCAGGGGCAACTTTTAGTTAAGTGACTTTTTTTTAAAGATTTTTATTTATTTGTGCATACAGAAGTGGGGTACAGGCCAGAGGCTCAGGGACGGCGAGAGGCTTCACCAGAGACAGAGTGGGGGGCAGAATAGGCAGAGCAATGAAGTACACTGCTGAAGGGAGCAGCGGGCAGGTCAGGAGAGGTCTGCCCCACCATGTGGGTCACCTCTGGGGCAGGCGGGAATTGAACTCATGCGGAAGGGGCTTTAGCTTCTCAGTGCTGTGCTTTAACCTGCTGCGCCACTAGGGAGGGCCCTTTGGTAGTCTTTTTTTTTTTTTTTTTTAATTTATTTTTACATCATTCTTCATCTTGTGCCATTTCCCATCTTGGGTGTAATTCCCGTGGACATCCCACCACCAATTCACCCATGTGCCATCACTATAGTCCAGTGCACCCCACTTCCCCCCTCCCATTTCCCATTCCACCCCTGTAAAATGTCTCTGATATATAGCTCTTTTTTCTTTATTATAATTGCTTTTTATTCCTCGCCCCCCCCCCGGCCCCTTACACTCCTGCTATTAGTGAAACCATTAGTAATTTTTAAGCAGAGAAATAGTCTGGTCTCTCTATAGTTTAGACAGAATTCTAACGACTATGGAGAAGAGATTTAAGGGATCTTGAACCAAAGGAAAACAACTGAAGATTGTGTCAAATCAGTTGATAAATTCTGAAAATTAAACAAGCTAAGAGAGATGGAAAAGAGGGGACTGGTTTTGTGTCAAGATAGCAAGTTATCATTAAGGATATTCAAAAGTATGCCTAATGGAAAGTATTATGCAAAATGTGAGGTACAATTTCAGAAAGATATTTTTTTAAACATTTATTTACTTATGCATACAGAACTGAGTGTACAGGCCAGAGGTGCAGGGGCAGTGAGAGGCCTCACAGAGACAGAGTGGGGAGCAGAACAGGCTGACTGACCAAGTACACTGCTGAAGGGAGCAATGGGCGAGACAGGAGAGGTCTGCCAGGCCATATGGATCACCTCCAGAGCCAGGGATCAAACTCGCACTGAAGCAGCTGTGGCTAGCTTGCAATGCTGCATCCTAACCCACTGCACCATCAGAGAGGGCCTCAGGAAGACATTTTTAAGAAGCTAAAAGGAATTATCTAATACTATTATCTAACACTCACAAATTTCAATCATTCATTAAATACGCATTCAAGTTCCTGCAATGCCACACACTTTCTAGTTGTTGATGCAGAAGGATTAAGACAGACAAAAATCCTATCCTCAAAGAGCTTACATTCGTATGTGTTAGGCAACGAATGAAATATGTAAGCTGACAGCAATTTCTACGGAGAAAAACAAAGAATGAAATTGTAGTCTTCTCATTAATATTAGAAGCAGCTTAGTTATTTTGCATGGCTCTTAAGAAAGCAATACATGTTATATTTCTTTTTAGAAGACTTTCTTGTTCTTACTCCCATGAGAATATGTATTTTACTGCACATATACACACTACAGGTAAGTAAACACATTTCTCTCCATTCTTTCATTTATATATTTATCACATAGCTCTTCATCTTTCCATTTATCTATATAACACTAACCCCTAACCGTATTATTTTATACATTGTGCATTTTTCCACAAGTAGATAGGACTCTGCTCCTAGGCCCCAGTTTTGTGTTTTCATATTTGGCACACATCAACTCTATAATAAATATTGTTAATCAGTAAATGAAAACTTATGCCTGGACTTATATATAATGTCTTTAGGCATACACCATAAACTCCTGCCCAGAAAGGAACTACAAAAAGAACCAACCTTCAAATAATTTCCTGCACTGATCAAATTATAGCACTAATCAAGTTATAGTGAAAGATACTGCTTCTTTCAAAGGGGAAGGGGAGGAAAGTACCTTTCCTTGAGTCAATGCAAACTGCATAAGCAGAACAATGAACTAGGGTCTCCCTGGTAACACAGAAGTTAAGTTTCAGCTCTATACTATCAGCAGCCACTGCAGCATGAGTTCAATCCTGGGCCAGGGAGCTGACCCACATGGCGCAACAGACTTCTCCCGTCTCCTGCTACTCCCCTCAGCAGTGTGCTTCAGTAGATCTGCCTGTTCTGCTCCCCACTCTGTCTCTGGTGAATCCACTCACCCCCTCTGGCCTGCAACCTAGTTCTTGTGTGCATAAATAAATAAAGGTGTAGAATGAAGCTAGTTACCTACAAGAAGGAAGGAGCAATTGCTCATGAAATAGCCAAAAGGCTTTTCTTCTTTTATTTAACATTTAATGGTATTAATATTAAACCTGATTTCTTAATTTGATTATATTAACACTGAATGCTATTTTAATGAAATGATTGTTGCAGAAAATTATATGTCTTATAATCCCATGGACTTTTTTTCTATTTTATAGTACCCTATCTGATACAGAAAGAAATCATTAGTATTAGTATGTTTTAAATTTCTGCACGAGTAAAATTTTGTAGGACTGAAGGAATTGGAATTTGTTCTCTGTGTCCTTGATGATAAATTAAAAAGGGAAAGATCAACTGGGGTTTAACATCTTAGAGAAGCACTAACAAGGAAGGATTCAAGAAGTAAGTATTTTTTAATTAACTGCTCAGAGAAAGGAGACATTTTCCTTAAAATGACCTCTCTAGCCCTAATATTGTTCTTTTATTGGAGTTAGAAGATAATTAATATAGAGAGCTTTTTCCATATACAAAAAAAAAAAAGATTAAACCAGAGAAAAACCCATAATGCCAAATGTAGCTACATGTGAATTCATCAAATCTACGCCAATTCCACACTGCCACAAATTTCTTACATCTTTTGTTTTGTGTTTTATCAGGATTGCCAGTTGTCAGAAACTACCCTGTTCCAACTCGGGTGATTTATTCCTAGTCAAGTGGAACTGATTATTCTGCCTTTGAGGCCCTCACCCCTGAGTAAAACCAGAGACTTCCTAAAGGAAATAAAGCTTAAAGGACAGGAATACCAAAAACACTTCTGCAATCACCTGGATACTTTAAACATCATTTAGAGGAAATGAATTTTTTTTCATGATGCCTCCATAGTTGTTCTATGTAGCCATCAACATCAAATTTATTAAGTGAAGTGATCTTTACACCTTGGTTAATAACATCTTTCTGTAACAGTGGCAGAAATACAGTCTGGATGAACTAATTACTATCAGTCAACAAAGAGGGATCTACAGTAATTAATTTAGGAAAAATCACTAACCTTCTAATTCCTAGTCAATTTTTTTTTGTCTCCACCATACACTCAGGTGAATTGTATGATCAAAGCACAAACATAATTAAACAAAATGAAGTTTTCCCTTCACTATATTGACTTTGAAATTCTCAATTTTTAAATCATGTTATGAGTGGTTAGAAGACATGAGTAGCCAAGACTGAGAAACTCCAAGCAAAGTTTTAAATTTAGATTGTTAAGTGCTTTCCTATTTGTATACTCAATTAGTGCTTATTGATCTTTAATAAGCTCAGCAAAGATCTGATTGGCAAACAAACATTTCTTTGGCTTAGTTACCGTCTCAATTGCTTTGGTCTCTCATTGTGTAAGTCACTGAGTAGATGTGTAGTGAATACATAAGTAACAATATCATAACAGACAAGTTACTTGATCTTTCTGTTAACACTAACATTACTTTCAATGCTATATTTCAATGAAATATTTCAGTGAAATATTTTAAAAAATAAATTATTCATTAGAGTATCAACACATTTTATCTTAAACTGTTTAAACTAAACTATACAAGAAATGTAAGTGAAATACAATCAGAGTTGTATTAATTGATAGGAGAGGAAGAAAGTTGTTTGACAAACTATCCCATATGATAGATAATAGAATGACCTCTTGCATTAAAATAACTGAATGAGGCACACCCTGGTGGAGCAGTGGATTAAAAGTGCAGCACTGCAAGTTAGCTGCAGCTGCTTCAGTGCAAGTTTGATCCCCAGAGGTAACTCACATGGTGCAGCAGACCTCTCCTGACCCGCCTGCTGTTCCCCTCAGCAGTGTCAATCTGCCTGTTCTGCTCCCCACTCTGTCTCTGGTGAATCATCTCACCACTCCTGTGCACCTCTGGCCTGTACCCCAGTTCTGTATGCATAAATAAATCTTCAATAAATAAATAACTGAATGATATGAAGCTAAAGCTGGTGAGACCAAACGTCATGGCCAGTTAAGATCTGTCTGGATCAACTAGATCTTT